ATATACAAAAGTAAACTCAAAATGGATTAAAGACTTAAATGTCTTTAGGATAGACTGGATACTCTAAAACTCCAAGAGGAAAACACAGGCAGAATACTCTTGGACATAAATCATAGCAATGTTATTTTGGATCCATCTGCTAGAGCACTGGAAAAAGCAAAAATAAAGAAATGGGACCTAAATGAAATTAAAAGCCTCTGCATAGCAAAGGAAACCATAAACAAAATGAAAAGACAACCTGGGAGGAAATATTTGTAAATGACTCAACCCTGATAAAGGACTTATTTCCAAAATATACAAACAGCTCATACAGCTTAACATACTTAAAAAAAAAAAAATCAAACAACCCAATCAAAAAGTGGGCAGATCTAAACAGACATTTCTCCAAAGAAGACATTCACAGGGCCAACAGACAAATGAAAAGATACTCAATATTGCTAATAGAGAAATGCAAATCAAAACTACAATGAGGTATCAACCCACACCAGTCAGAATGGCCATCATTACAGTCTACAAACAATTAATGCTGGAAAGTCTGTGGAGAAAAGGGAAGCCTATTACACTGCTGGTGGGAATGTAAACTGGTGCAGCCATTATGGAAGACTGTGTGGAGGTTCCTTAAAAAACTAAAAATAGAGTTACCATATAATCCAGCAATTCCACTCCTGGGCATATATCTGGAGAAAACTCTAATTTGAATAAATACATGCACCTGCAATGTTCACAGCAGTGCTATTTACAATAGCCAAGACATGGAAACAACCTAGATGTCCATCAAAAGATGAATGGATAAAGAAGTTGTGGCATATATATACAATAGAATATTACTCAACCATAAAAAAGAATGAAATGCCACCTGCAGCAACATGGATGGACCTAGAGATGATCATGCTAAGACAGAGAAAAAAGAATGTCACATGGTATCACTTATATGTGGAATCGAAAAAAAGTTATATGAATGAACTTATTTACAAACCAGAAATAGACTCAGATATAGAAAACAAACTACAGTTACCAAAGGCAAAGTGAGGGGAAGGACAAATTAGGAGTTTGGGATTAACAGATACACACCACTATATATAAAACAGATAAACAACAAGGACCTACTGTATAGCATAGGGAACTATATTTAATATCTTGTAATAACCTATTATGGAAAAGAATCTAAAAACATACACTTGTATAACTGAATCACTTTGCTGTACACCTGAAACCAACAAAACACTGTAAATCAACTATATTTCAATTAAAAAAAAAGAAAGTAGCCATAGACAATATATAAAGCAATGGGCAAGGCTATGCTACAATAAAATTTAATTTACAAAAACAGGTAGCAAGTCAGATTTGGCTTGAGGGCCATAGTTTGCTGACCTCTGCTCTGGAAAATTCCATAATTATTTTCTTTTTAGCATAGTTGAGAATAACTGATGCGTAATATTAAAATAATTCCTAATGTAATGAAATAGCAGAATGTTTCAAGCTACAAGAAAATAAGATCATTAAAATCTTAAAATGTATCTTGGATTTACAAAAGGGGCCAATGGACCAATATGGTAATTTCAAAATTAAATAAACTGTATTCTATCACAAATATCAATTTTCTCTTTATTCTCTGGAAGGTTCCCTAAACAAGAATAAAAGTCATGAAATATCGATCCTTACAAATGGAACTACTCAAAACTCAAAACTAAAAAATGGGTCCAGTGGGCCCTGATCACAGACTGAGCGTTAAAGCATGCAGCCAAATAAGTGACCGTTGATTTGGTAGATAAGGGAAGGTCTGAAATTTTACAAATTTAAAAAAAGAAAACCTTAAGGGTTTTTTTGTTGTTGTTGATATGCCTGGGTTGGGAAATAGCGGCATCAGCATCACTCTGAAACTTAAAAGAAATGCAAAATTTTGGTCTCCATCCCATACCTACTGAATAAGAAACTCTAGAGCAGGTGAAGCCTAGTAAAATGAATTTTAACAAGGTTTCCAAAAATTCTGCTTTCAGCTAAAGACTGACTTCATTAGCCTAAGAAACATCCCTCCTGATGACCAAAGTTGGGCCAGGCAGTACCACACCTGCAATAATAAACCAATTTCTTGGTATTTAGAGGTCCCAAAGTCTAGTTCTCATTACTGCTTTTATGTGTTAAGAGGAGACTTATAATGATTTAATGACTAATACTTTAGTTGCACACTAATAATTCTTGCTAATAACCTATATACTGTTTCTGCCTAATTACCATGCCTAAACTATCTCATGGCATAAAAATTCTAATACATACTATTGAGTTTTGCATTAGAAGCAAATAGTTTACAGTGATGGATGCAGGACAGTTGGCAATACCAGGTGAAATAACATATGTAAAAGATTAACAGTTTTTTGCATACTATAAAAGTTCAATAGTATTGTTAATTGTTGAACATGTTACTTAACACTTCCATAAGCTTAAATTTGTGCTTTTTTTTTTTTTAAACAAAGTTTTCCTCATTGGGAGTTACAGTCATTCGTTATAAACAATAGAGAATAAAAAACCAAAACCAAAAAACCTGCAATTCCAAAACCCAGATAACTGACATTTTGGTTGTATCCTTCCAGGCTTTTTGGGCTTTTATTTTTCTCTTCTTTTTTGCCTTAGTCATTGTTCTTTTATTAATATGAGTAAGCGGTATACACAATTTTACAAAGACTGTGCTACAGAATAGGGTAACATATTTGGGAATTTTTAAATAAAATATTAGAGTTCATTATTTCATTTAAATGAAATATTAGACTTATTGTTAAAAATGCATTAACAATTTGTGAAATTTTAAATGAAACATTACAGTTACATTAAAAGGAAATGTATTATTTCCATAATAAGCTGTGGGCTCAAATTACAAAGTTCATACATTCACTA